CAGTGTTTTAAGTGCTAGGCTTCTCCAACTCTGCTGAAAGCCTACTTTGGAACAAACACCTCTTTTATATTTAAGATATAATTTTGAATCTAATAGTAACTATAGACACTATTAACCTGAAAAGATTCTTCTTGTTTGTCCATTTAGGAAAGAACATGAATAACAAAGGTGGTAAGGCAGATTTTAACATTTGTGGGATGATTAAAAAATACATAGCAACCACAGAGACTCAAGGTATAATTGTTTCATTTCTTTCTAAGTATTGAATGTTTTTCTCAACAGGCATCTTTTCATTTTATAACTTTCTAAGTCCGAGACTTTTTCCCCCATGAAAATAAGAAAAGCTAAGGGAAAAAATGCAAATGCCACATTTTATTTACATCATTCAGTTGTCTCCTACTTGTAGACACAAAATGTTTAGTTCATTCCTAAGCAGACTTGCTCTGAAAAATAAGTGAGTATGTCTTTTCCTTTTGGACTGCACAATCTCTGTTCTGCCCTGCTGTTTTCCATTGATGTGTATTAGGAAAAAGAAACAGAAATTGGGTAATATGTCATTGTATTTGAAATTCTTGATTTTTATTAAAGAATATTCTTCCAGTACAGGCATCTGTATCTTACAGCCCAAAGGCCAGATTCAGACTGCTACCTGTTTATTTATAAATTATGAACTAAGAATGAGCTTTTCTTCTTTAAATTGTCAAGGTATGATTAAAAGAATAATAATTTTGTGCAAGTGAAAACTGTATGAAATGCAAATGTTAGTGTCCAGAATTAAAGTTTTATTAGGACACAACACTGCTCATTTGTTTACACATTGTCAATGGCTGCTTGCACACCACTACAGCAGGTTGAATAGTGTGACACAGACCATATTTTACACTCTCATTGCTTGCCACTGCTATTTGGTCCACTGTAAATTACAGTGACATAATTATAATTCTACAACATTTCTGGTGCTGTGAATATTGCTGTACCACATTTTTTTTATTATTGTTACAGGTCATGTCAACACAAAATAAGAGAATAAATTAGACTCTAAACTTTGCAGCCTTACGGTACCATGGAGTGCAGATTATTTCATTGTCAAATTAGATGAAAAAAATTTTGGTTTTTAAGCAACGACACCATAGCTGGGCTAAAAGAATATAATATTGTCATTACCAGACTAAGCACTCATCACATCTCTAACTCATGGAAAAACAGCAATATGAAAAAAAATAGAACATTTTAAATGGAATATCTCATCATGACAGAATTTCTTCACAAAAATAAAAAGCAAAAATGAGGCTGCAACTAAATTTCTCAGCAGCTCACTTTTCAGCCAAGCAAGGAAATCCTTTTGCTGATGTTGACTTATAAAATCATGAGTGATTACAGCAACTAAAGAAATGTAGCCAGAGAAAGTAATTAGGACCATCAACTTTCTGGCAAGCACAGTTTCTTAAAGAATTGAAAACACTGTGAGTAATATCAATAGTCAGCTAAAAATAAAAACAGCAAATGATCTTGAGAGGTTTTTCTTGGCTTTTGATGATCAACTCATGTTATCAACACTAGTCAGTAGTTGCTTATTAGAGAAGTCAACGGCAAGTTTGAAGTGACTGGAAAATTAACTTCTATCAATACGGTTATACATGAGAATGTTCTCAAAAAGCCAAGAAAACACTAATTAAATACTACCTGAAGTGGAATCTGCTAAGATGTGTTATAACTGATGGTGATAAAAATATGTTTGAAGCAGAAAATAACTTAATTTTTATAAATTTACAAAGCTTCTGGTAAGGTATTTAAAGCCCTTGCCATGCCTCGTATTATTCATCAGCAGGTACTTTGCAGAAAGTATTTGAATCCGTGTATGTTATTGAACCATAGCATCAACAGTAAATTTCCTTCACTCTGGCAGACTTAAGCATTGGGTGATTTTGAAGTCAGGGCCCAGACTAAATTTATTTTTGAATGAGAAGTACTCTCAATCACTATTATAAAACACTGAGCAGTTTTGAAATTAGATTTTCCTATAGAATTAAAAGCGTTTCTTAATGAACATTAAGAAAAGCCAAATAGTGCTTATATGTGAAATGTACACAAAAGCTGACATTGTTTGAATCACAAATAACATCAAATGGTCTATATGCATTGTGCTGCCAAACATTAGAACAATTAAGTAGGTATCTACTCTAATGCAAATTGGTAGTGAGTGAAACTATAGTTCTGAGCTAAAATACAGTTAGAGCAGCATTTTTTCTGACTATTATGAAAGTGCCAAGGAATTTTCATATTTCCAAATCCATTTAACTGCAACTGGGGAGCTTCCACCTAACATTCAATTGGAAGTGATTAATCTACAATATAATCACACGCTAAAAGTCAAATGTCAGGAGAAGTATCCAGTAGAATACAGAGATTCCTTCTACTTAAGATAAAAATATATCCAATCAAATTACATGCTTGTAGATTGTTATCAGTATTTGGCAGTACCTGTGCTAAAGACATTTCATAGATGATATACACAAAATTTCCTTCCAGATCAACATTAAGAGATTAATATTTGCAATCAGTTTTGAGAGTTGAGAACTAAATCTGAACCCCATCATAGAAGCTTTTTTCCTTTAATCACGGCTATAGCAAATTACCACAAACTTAGTGGCTTACAACTCCCATGTATTATCTCACAGATATGTAGGTCAAAAGTCTGAATACATTATCACTCAACTGAGTCCTCTGTTTAGAGTCTCTTGAGACCAAAATTGAGGTATTAACACAACTGTCTTTCTTTCTGGAGACTCTGGGGACAATTCTACTTCTAAACTTAATCAGATTTCAAACAAATTCAATTTCTTGTGGTTGTATAACTGAGGCCTCTGTTTCCTTGCTGACTGTCAGTCAGGGGCTATTCTTTGCTCCTAGATACTCCAGACACATGCTTTCCATGTGGCCCCTCCACCGCTGGCATGCTTCTAACTTCTCATTTTGCTATATGTCTCTGACTTCAGCCTCTGAAAGTTCTCTGCTTCAAAGTGCCCACCTGAATAATTCTGACAAATCTTCCATTTTAACCCCTATAATCCTAATTATATCTGCAATGTGAAAAATACTGTGCAAACGTGTCAGTAATTATACTGCTTTTTCCCCCCTGGGAAACTATGTGTATGCTCATATTTAGTAACAGTTTTATTTTAAATGGTGTTTATTCAGCATTATTTTAAAAGGCAGAAATATGGAGCCAAGCCAAACATGTACCAATAAGAGGATGGTTAAATAAATTAGAGTAAATCTATTCTGCACTCAATTATATTATAATAAATATAAATAATTCTTTTGTATCACCATTGGTTATATACATTTTAATGTTTTTAATAATGTCAATTTCTTACATTTTAAGGAGAATCATAGTTATTTTTATAAATCTAATTGACTTAATTTTGTGGGAACATAAAGGAAGTGATTAAAAACCTTTGGTCTAAAGTAGTTAATCCTGAAATCAAGCTCAGTGAATGTTGTGTAGAGATATGGAGAAATCCTCAAAAAGAAAGAGCTAAAGAAAATGGCAGGGATTGCCCCTCGGGAGTATAGCTGAAAGTAGAAAGACATGGATCAAGGAGTCTTACTTTTAATCACAGGGCATACGTGCTATTTGAATTATTTGACAAAAGTATAAAAATATGGGATTATGCATTTGTGTGTGTGGTTTAGTCTGTTTAAGAAATATGTGACAGAGGCTGTCCTATCATCAGGAAATCATTCCATTTCACAGAACAGAAAAGACTGAAGAATTGAGAGTAGAACTAATTACTAAGGTTGCTTCCTTTGACCAAACAGGTCAGAGTTTGAATGAAAGAAACATGGAGTGAATGAATTTTTATAAGACCTAAGAAGAATATTTCATAAGCCACATTTTTCCTTTTGATTCTTCCTGTTCTGATGTCTTCCTTCTACATTCATTTCCTGACTCCTGAACTCTGATGGCTACAGAAAGTTCTCCCTTCCTGCCTATAAAAGAGAAATTATTAAGACAAGCTGTTTTTTTCTATGGCAAATTTGACATAGACATTGGAATATTTCCCCTGAATTCATGAATAGGCAAGGTAGGAGAAAGTCAAGAAATGCAATTACTCATAAAAAGGACATATCCAAAATAGGCCAAGAACACAGAAAATTTTTCCACTCTGCAACCTGAATATCATAATAAATAGGGGCTTTGGGTGGGCAGGTCTGATTTTAAATTTCAGTAATTCCCAAACCCTGAACCTCAGTTCTAGCATCTGTAATAATGGATAACAATTTCTATGCCACAGGTTTCATTAGTAATGAATTAAACAATAAATAAAAAGTAATTAACCTACTATTTAGCATACAGTAAACATTCAACATAGCTGTTTCTCTGCTATCATAAATTTCTCTCTCACAACTATATTCTTCTTCATGTCTACAGTCATATAAATAATATTAAAACATATCTGTACATATTTATAGTTATTCAATATAGGTAAAATAATTTCACTCTCAAGCAATTATGTACTTCTTTTGGTGGTAGATAAGCATTTTGAAGGCAAGAAACAGATTTAATAATTCTTTTATAACTTTATATAAGATGCATGCTAATTCTATTAATATATTTGAATAAATGTATTTGGTATTTCACTTAATGAGAGGCATGAGCTCTTATCATCCCACTTTACAGATGAGGAGACTAAAGTATAGAGTGGTTAATAAACTGACCAAGGTAACACCACTAGAAGGTGGCAGAAGATAGATTTGAGGGATTTGAACCTAGATTTGTCTGTATCCAGAGTCCATATATCTACCATGCTGTATTGCCTTCACTCCTAAAACACAGCAGAAATGTCAGATTCATGCTTATTTTTAAAGTGAATTCCAGAAGTATGCTACCTGCTTTTAATGTACACATCCACGTTTAATCTGTCACCAAATTATATCTATTTTCACTTGTATGTAACTCTCAAATTCTTTCATTTCTCATCATCCTTGCCCTATTACCTTCATCCAGGCTGTCCTTGTCCTTGGCTCAAATAACTGCGTTAGCCTCTTAAAAGGTCACTAAGCCTTCATTATTGCAGTCTTCATTCCTTTTCAACACTGTTGCGGAGATATACTATATCCTAAAACTCAAGTCTGTTCTTGGAACACTTCAGTGACTCCACATTGCAATGAAGAAGCTCCAACTCTTCAATCCCACCCAATCCCAGCACTCTCCAATTCTAGTACGGTGTGCTCCATGAAAGTAGCAACCCTCTCCAGCTTCCATAGGAGGGTTTTGTACATTTTGGTTATTCAGTAAACCTTTGGTGACGGCATTGAATAAACATCGTTTCCATTCCTGTTTATATTCCTGCACTTGCCCATACCTTTACTTCAGCTATCATGAACTTTGTTTAGATACTGAAAATCACCAAGAAGAGAAAAAGGTATCAGAAACATACAATGCTAAAACCAAGAAAGGTCAGCCCCAGACAATCCATTAATACCAGGAGAGCTGAGGCTAGTGACAGAACAGCTAGGATGGCCAAACAAAGACGTACTTGGGAATAAAAGGAAAATGTGCACAAGGCAAACAGGAGTTGAGGCCCACATCATCAGCCACAAGGATTAAACCTCAAGAATGAAGTTAGTCTGTTGTGTCCTATCTTTAGTGACATTTATATTTCTTTTATCTTCCATAGTTCTCATCTATACTTCTCTTACATTGGGAAAGCTGTAGAATAAATCAAGTAGCTATTAAGTGATTATGTGTCAGGCATTTTGCTAGACATTAGGGTACAAGTCTAGAGAGCATTAGGCATTCCCCCCAGGAAGGCGACAGTCTATGTAGGAAGTAGACATGGATTATCTCAATACGATAGAATAAAGACTATACTAAATTTTTTTTGCTGCTGAGCAAAGAAGGGGCACTTTGCCAAAGATAAGTTCTCACAGGGAGAGATTTCATCACAGTTTCTATAAATGTCTATTGATTTTGCCTATGTCAACAAGATAACTAAACCCGCAAACAGTCTGCATGTTTTCTGGAGACGTGTCAGTATATATGTGTGGCATGTTAACAGTCATATAAAACATTTTTTTTTTATTTGGATATTTACTTCTTTGGTTTACAATGCCTTTTTTTTTTTTTTTTTGGCTAAAATGCTGAATACTTGCCAAAGTCATAGTAGAATTCTTCACTTTGTTTGACAGGCTGAAGACCAAATTTGTGAGTGTCAAACATAGTCTGAGTTTGTTGTCTAATGTCATTTCACTTATGTTTTCTGAAGAAATTTGTTTTTCTCCAGCAAGAAATCTCTATTTTAAACAGTCATCTGCCGATTCTGCTATCCCAGCAGTTAGGCTTTTCTGTTTCTTTCCTCTCAATTTCTACATCATTCTGAAGGGAAAAAAAAATCATAAGGGGCAGGAATTCAAATCATATAAGAGCAACTAGTTCTCTCCTATAATAATCCCAAATTGACTATAAATTCTACCCAAATCTCTTCACCAATATACCATAATATTGAATGGGAAGTTGTTCAGAACTCACAGTTGCAACTCCTAGGAACAGTGGTATATCGAGGGTTGCAAAGGAGGTGGAGACGTGAAAGCACCCCACCCCAGGTATAGGCAGTAATAGCATTGGCTGTAGGGAATTTAAAGAAATAATAAAACAGACTAAACACAGGTCTGCTTTTTATTGTCAGAATGTATTTCATTCTAAACAAGCTCAGTGGTTAAATACTCCTCCCTCCTGGATTGGAACACTCTGTCTGTGCCAAACCCTCCCTACAAAGTTCCCTTCTCACCGCCTATGTCTCTTTCTCCTTTACCCTGCTTGCCAAAGGACACTGTTACCAGAACTCCAGAATATTGTGCTCTTCTACTGCTGTTTTCTTTATAGTGATATGAATGTTGATATCTGATAATGCAAGGATAAATACAGAGCCCCATTAAGTGGCGAAATCCCAGTTGCTTCCTCGTTAGATACCAATTTACTGGTGAGTGTGATGTTCACTTTTGCTCAAGAAAAGGCTTCATCAAACTTTTTAATTTGTCAAACTCTGATGAGAGAACTGCCTTGTCAGGAAACAGGATTCATTTTCATGGTTAGGACTATGCAAGGTAATTAATGAGAAACTCATCCTTAATAAGCAGCTTTCTCTCTGGGTACAGTAACACCACCAAAACCTCAGTTTGGTAGCCAGCAACCCAATTTTAATATAAGCACACACTTTTAGGAAAATAATGTAATTTCATAACAAACATTAAGAGAGACATATATTCTGGTTCATCTAGAAGAAAGAGATACATTGATAGAGTACTTTGAAATGGGCCGTCTTAAAAACATTTCAGAAAAAAAGAGTTTCTGCTGGGAGAAAAGTAAACAAGGAAGAAGAAAATGAAAAAAGAAAAGAATAAAAAGCTGTAGAAAGTCCGTCAGTTATGTTATAGATTAAAACTTATCAACTTGTATTACTATTGGATTTAAGAAAAAAAAAAATCTAAAAGTGCTTTTTAAAAATGTGTTCTGGCTGGGTGCCGTGGCTCACGCCTGTAATCCCAACACTTTGGGAGGCCGAGGAGGGTGGATCACGAGGTCAAGAGATCGAGACCATCCTGGTCAACATGGTGAAACCCCGTCTCTACTAAAAATACAAAACATTAGCTGGGCATGGTGGTGCGTGCCTGTAATCCCAGCTACTCAGGAGGCTGAGGCAGGAGAATTGCTTGAACCCAGGAGGCGGAGGTTGCGGTGAGCCGAGATCGCACCATTGCACTCCAGCCTGGGTAACAAGAGTGAAACTCCGTCTCAAAAAAAAAAAAAAAAAATAGGGTCTAGTTTAAAAAAAAAAATGTGTTCTACTTCTTCCCAACTTAGGAAAAATATTTACTTCAATAATTAAAAATTGAATGTGCACAAAGCAGCATGTCATCTTTGTGCATTGATCCAATAAGATTCTACACTATACTATAATTTGGCAGGCAGTAATCTTCAGTCCAGCTATTCCTCTGTGGTCACAATATTCCAAGTATTTTTCCAGCTTCTATCTTTTTCTAGACCAATACCTTGTGTTCTTGAGTGGTGGGCCACTCCCAATCCTCAATAACTCTGTGTTTAATATTGTGCAAATACATGAATCACCAGGGAAGACAGACTGAGACTTGAGTAGGGAATCAGAGCTGCTCTTTGTTAAGATGTGTCAAGCCTAGCAAAGGAATCCCAGGAAATTAAAGTCTAGAACATCATAAAATCACAGCTGGAGAAAAGTTAATCATCACCTAGCTCAGTTCTATTACAGGTACACCCCACGTTATTGTACTTTATTTTATTGTGCTTCACAGATGTTGTGTTTTTTCCTACAAACCTTCAATTTGTAGGAACCCTGTGTTAAACAAGATTATTGGTGTCGTTTTTCCAACAGCATGTACTCACTTTGAGTCTAGATGTCACACTTTAAACTTTTAAATTAATATTATGTCTGTTATGGTCATCTGTGATCAGTGGTCTTTGATGTTGCTATTGTAATTGTTTTGGGGTGCCATGAACTGCACCCTACAAGATTGCAAACTTAAATTACTGTGTGTGTTCTGAATGCTCTACCACCCAGAGGCTCCTTCATTTCTCTCTCTCTCTCTCTTTCTCTCTCTCTCTCTCTCTTTCTCTCTCATCAAGTCTGCCTATTCCCCTGAGATACAACAATACTGAAATTAGGCTAGTTAATAACCTAAATGGCCTCTAAGTATTCAAGTGAAAGGAAGAGTGGAACATTTCTCACTTTAAATCAAAAGCTAAAAATGATTAAGCTTAGTGTGGAAGGCATGTCAACAGTTGAGTCAGGCTGGAAGCTAGGCTGAGAGAAGTGAAGATGCTTCAGGAAAATATCTTGAAACTATCAGAGGTTGTTTCATGAGGTTTAAGAAGCCATCTCCATGAAAATGCAAAGTGAAGCAGCAAGTATTAATAAAAAAGCTGTAGTTAAGTCATCCAAGTATCTGGCTAAGGTAATAAATGCAAGTGGAAACACTAAAAAACAAATTTTCAGTGTAGACAAAGCAGTTTTATACTAGAAGAATAAACCATATAAGACTTTCATAGCCAGAGAGGAGTCAAGGGGTCCTGCTTTGAAGCTTCAGAGGACAGGCTGATGTTCTTGTTAGGAGCAGATATGTCTGATGGCACACTGATCATTCCCAAAATTCTAGAGCCCTTAAGAATTATCTAAATCTACTACACCTGTGCTAAATAAATGATGCAACAAAGCCTGGATAATAGCACATCTGTTTACAGTATACTTCACAGAACATTTTAAGCCAGGTGTTGAGACCTATGGCTTAGAAAAGGAGTCCTTTCAAAATGTTACTACTCAGTTGTTAAGGCAGGCTGAATATGGCCTGAGAAGGACTCCATATTTCTATATTTGAGTCTTTGTGGATGAACTATAACCTAGCTTAATAGACAAAATTGAAAACCTAACTTAATAATATGCACCCATAACTATAGCTGAGTGCTGGCCAATCCCAGTGGCCATACTTCAACCACTGATAGGCTGCTGCGTGTTAAAACTGCATTCAAATAAGGCAAATGCAGAGCTGCAACCGATCTCACTGTTTCTGTACCTCACTTCTGATTCCTGTATGTCACTTTATCTTTTTTCTTTACAAATTTGTTCTGAGCATGAGGCATCCCTGGAGTCTCTGTGAATCTGCCATGATTCTGGGGGCTGCCCATTCGTGAATCATTCATTGGTCAATTAAACTCCTTTCAATTTAATTTGGATCAAGTTTATCACACTGAAAATGCACCTGGTTATCCAAGAGCTCTGATGGAGTCGTACAAGAAGATGATAGTTGTTTTCATGCCTCCTAATACAACATCCATTCTTCAGCCCAGGAATCAAGGAGTAATTCTGACCCTCAAGTCTAATTATTTAAGAAATACATCCTGTAAGTCTCTAGCTGCCATAGATAGTGATTCCTCTGATGAATCTGGGCAAAGTAAACTGAAAACCTTCTGAAAAGAATTCACTATTCTGGATCCCTTAGAACATTTATGATTTATGGGAGGAGGGCAAAATATCATCATCAAGAGGAATTTGGAAGAAGTGATTCCAACCCTTACAGATGACACTGAGGAATTTAAGACTTCAGTGGATGAAGCAACAGTAGATGTGGTAAAAATAGCAAAAGAATTAGAATTAGAAGTGAAGCCTGAAGATGGGACTGAATTGCTGCAATCTCAAAATAAAATTTTAGTGGACGAAGAGTTGTTTTATATAGATGGGCAAAAAAAGTGGTTTATTGAGATGGTATCTACTGGTGAAAATGCTGTGAATATAGTTGAAGTGACAACAAAAGATTTAGAACATTATATAAATTTAGCTGATAAAGTAGCACAGGTTTTGAGAGGATTGACT